CCCATGCGACCGTCGAGCACCCCTGCCGTGCGCTGTTCGGACTGCGCAGTCGCTGGGCGACATAATTCGTGGATATACTTCCAAGCGCCCATGGCGTAGCAATCGGTCGCCAAGGGTCGTTCAGGGCCCACCTTCTTCCTCGCGGCCCGCGCCGCGATCTTGGCCAGCGGCAGCCATGCCCCGCGACTGCGGGCCCATCCGCCGCGGCCGATGACCCCGCTGGGGGCCGAAAGCACTCTGAGTCCTGCGCGCGGGGCGCCCATCGGGAACTCGCTCGGTGAGCTCTCGTCCACGTAGCGACCTAGCTCCCGCCGAGGGGCGTCGGCCGAGGGTGACAGCCGCAAAAGGCGCCAACGCACGGGGGCGCATCGATGCCCGCGTCTGACTGACGTCGCGGTCCTTCCCGCAGAGGCCGCGCGAAATCCTCGTCGGCGCAGCGATGCCGCGAGGTGGCCATTGCGCTGCCGAAGAGGTCGTGCTCGATGCGCTGCTCGTCGCCATGCTCCGACTCCACCGCCACTCCGGATCCCATTTTGCAACAGTAAACCGCGCCAGGAAGAGGGGCTGCTCGTCGCGCGCGTTCTACTCGTTCAGTTCACGGCCGTAGTTCTCGCCGTCGCCTGCGTGGCCGTCGAGGACGAGCAGCGCGCTGGGAGGTCTGCCGCTGTCGCCGAAATTATGATCAACCATGTGCGGCTTCTACTTCTCGTTTCGGGTCAGCAGATTGTCTCTCCGTGTGTCGCAGTCGCTGTTGCGCGGGGCAGCTGGCGATGCGCGGCTCAGCGCTGCCGTCTGATTTGCGCGCTTCGTCTGCAAAAATGACTCCGCGCTGGAGCCGTCGACGTCGCGAATCCAATTAAGGTCAGGAATCGCGACCGGCCGGCGGCCCTGCCGCAGCTCTAACCGTCGGCCCCAAGGCCGCGTTCGCGGGCCTGCGATCCTGCGCAGCGCCCCCATTGATACCCGAGGGGCGAGACCGCTCGGCAAGCCTCGCCACCAACGCCGGTGCCCCTAGTCCGGGAAATACTCCAACGATCCACTGCTTGTCGGCGGTTGAAGCGGCACGCCACGGGACGTCCGCAGCTGCGCTCCGAGTGGGCACAGTCGAACTTCTAGTTGCCGATGATTCGAGCAGCTGCCACAACAGGCAGCTTCCGAAGTTGCCCCGTCGCGCACGCCCGGCGCGCCAGCTCGGCTCGTTGGTCAACTCGGCCATCTCGACTGCGTGCCAGGCGTGCAACTGCGCGCCCCGCTCGAAGATGACGCGTCGCAACGCTGCAGCTTGAGCCGCCCTGACTTCAAACTCATTGACGCTCTTGCCGTCGCGTTCTCCTCTCACTCTGCCGGGTCGAGAAATCGATGTCCACGCCGCGTCGGGGCATTGCATTGTCATCGTTCCTCCGCGCCGACCCCCCTGCCAAGGACTTCGCGGACGTCGCGAGATCGAAACGCAGCGTTGCCACATCCGTTGAATGCGCGTCATCGAGAATGCCGGTGATCACCTAGCACCCGCGATGATGGGGGCATGTCTTCGCTATCGCGATCCCAGGCGTTCCAGGCCGCGAGGTCTCGAGGGATGTTTCAGCGCGCCTGCGAGCCCCCATCCGGAGGACTGCAGCAATTGGAGCTGCCGGACGCCCTGCCGCCCGCGTTCGACCCCGAAATCGTCGCCAGCACGGCCGGCGAATTCGCGGGCCACGATCTCGCCGAGGCACGATGCGAGGCCTCGTCGAATATATCACGGGCTAGCATGAGATGTCCAGATTGGCTCCTTTTCCGAATGGAATCGCCGAGATCCTGGCGACACCTGCTGCGCGTTCTCCAAGGCCAGTCCGGAAGAGCTGGCTGTTGAAGGCGCCCAGCTGGCAGCGCTGTGCTTGCCGGGACCTGCGCCCCGGCTGCGCGGGCAGCCCAGACTTGGGAAGTGCAAGGGCGTCGCGGATCGCGGATTGGCCGCGCCCCATCGCAATCGCGTGACCTCGGCGCGTTGGGATCCAGCCGGAAGCCGCGCCAACGACCTCCAGCTCGTGATAGAGAAGCCGTTCCCGTAGACCTGGCCTGCCGTGTCGCTTGGGGACCGACGTCGCCCGGTCGCTCCAATCGTCGCCCATGAGGTTCCCCCGGCTCCCGGGGTCCACAATCGCCGCCCTCACTTTGGCAAATCTTGACCAGGGTAGTGCGGGTCGCAGATCCTGGCCCCGTCTTCCGGCTGGTCGTTGGCCCCACCAGAGGAACCGCTCGACGTTCGATGTCGTTTGCCTAGGTGTCGCGCCAGCACCGCCATGAACGAATCCCTGAGTATGGTCCTAGCGCACAGCTGCTGGCAAATGTCCTCGGCTTCGTCGTGCATCCGAGGCGTCCGCCACGATGGCGCTGCAGGGTGGCTCGCCAACTCCCCCGCCGCGACAGCGCTTTGCCCGACGAGCCAGGCAGGCAGCTCCAGCTAGCGAGCCAGCGCGAAGCTGTCAGGGTGCTGGGGGAGCTCCAACTTCAGCTGCAGCGCCAGAGTGCGCCTCTGTCATGCTCCACACTTCGCCCGCGGCCATCAACTAGTGCTCGCCCTTGCTCCCGCCTTTGCCTTTGCCGTTGCGTCGGGCGGGACATGCGGCAGCAAGGGGGCGCGCGCTGTCGCACTCGCAACAATTCCCGACTACGCCGCCCGCTCCGCGCGGGGCCATGGAGCCAGGCGCGTCGGCCAAACTATTTGCGCTTGCCCCCGCCTGTGCCGACCTCCATGAAACTCTTGCAGCTGGCAGGGGAAGTGCGCATGATAACGCTGCCGTTGTCCTTGCCGTCGCCATTGTCGCCCTTCGTGCGCTCCTTGTTGGACAGCCTGTATCGTCTAGAGCCAATGCCTCCGAAGTGGCGGAAACGACGACTCATGCAGAGGTCGTCTTGGCGTAGGGAGTAGTCGCAACCAGCGTAGCTGTCAACGCAGTTTTCGGGCTCGTCGTTGGCCATATGGGAAATGCCCACCTTGTCGTCATCCGCGTCGCTGTCGTCCTTGCCATATCCCGTTTTATAGCAATCGGAACCGCACGTCAAAACACGTGCACCAGGCGAATCCGTCCATGAGTCGGTGTTCTGCTGGTGCTGGTTCGCCGTCGATCCGACATGTCATGCCGTTCCCATAAAATCAATGTCTGTGGCGTCCAACTGTCGCGTGCTGCCCATGTGACCCATATTGTCACTAGTTATGATCGCCGTTGCCATCGTAGCGATGCTGATTCTCGCGATTCCGAGGGCCATGATGCACGTCACGGGAGCCGTTGTGTATATGTTATGCTGTGTCCCCTCGCTGTCGTTTCATGTTGATTACTGCCTGAAGCTGGTAGTCAGTCACTGGTCGTTGGCTGCACGTTGCCTGCTACACGAAAGGCCGCGCAACACAAAGTGTACGCAACGCCTCCAAGAAGATCCAACCGAACACCTGTATTGGCACCTCACAACCACCAGCTGCCAGCGCATTGCCTGCTGCTCGTGCTCTAAGCGTCTGGACCTCGTCACAGTGTCGTCACTGCTCTCGTGCTCGCTCCTCCTGAAAATGACCTGCTGTATCCCGAACATGACTGAGCTTTCGATATCCATCTTGCCCAACCTGCGTCGTATGCCACCAAGAGCAATGGTTACTCCTTTCTCGATTTGATTGCAATTGTCCCATCGCCCGATTGCGACAGCCTCCGCTGGTACCACGCGGCAGAAGTCCCTGGCCGTATCGCCAAGCCTTTGGACGATGGCCGGTCCACATTGTTGCTCGCGTAGCTCAGTAACCGCCCGCCATTTCCTGAAGGCGTACCCCTCTTTCTCCAAGAAAAGCGCCCAGAAGGGAGGGACTTGCTGGTGCTTTGCTGGGCGAGTTCTGGTGTTGGTCGGTCAGCCTGCGGCAAAGCATGGTGAGGAGGAGCTGGGATCTTGCTCTCGCCCACGCGCGCGCCAGTGCACGACCTAGCTGCTGCTGCCTACCTCTGAGAGGAAGAAGAGGGGAACGAACTTGTCCGTCTGCTTGCTGCTGGTATTACCTCCGCTCCCGGAGGCCGCTGTCGAGCCTGGCGGCGCCGTGGTGCTCCATCTCTGCTGTCCAAAGCAACACCGTTGGACTCGCAACCGAAGTCCACGGAGCTCCTCTACCAGGACTCAAGTCCTGACTGATGGTACACTGGATCTCCAGAAGCATAAGAAAAAAACCGAGACTTGATCATGATCGCACGCGCATATCTTACCTGCGGTGCAACAGGTGTTCACTCTTTGAGATCAGTCCAGCTCGGCAGCCACGACCGAGCCTGAGTCAGAACGGATGTGGAGCATACATACTCTGCTACCCTCTGGCTTCTCTCAGCACCCTTGGGCGCGCCGCACTCCAGGACCCCTTTCCCTCTGGGCGCCTTGGCGAGTAATGAGGAGGAGGAGGAGGAGGAGGAGGAGGAGGAGGAGGAAGGGAGAAGACAAGGAAGAGACTATTGTGTGGACGGTGCTTCTGATGCTCCCACGCAAGCTGGCTCAGACAGGGGGGCAAGCGGCGAAGGGTGCAGCCCTTCGCATATCAACCGTCCTCCATGGTTCACCATTGCGGTGTTTGGCGTGCTGGGCCAGAGTAAATTGCTAAATCTAAGCTGTGGCACCCGATTGAACAGCCCGTTGCTAGCACGGTGTTTTCTTCTAAGGGGGGGTCAACGCAGCCTGGGCGGATAACGAACTAGCCGTGGGCTGGTCATGGGTGGTTCGCTGGCACAGCTCGGGGGCAGGAGCGACTCGCGGGGGAGCGCAGGTCGTGGGTGGGCGCAGGACGCGGGGGGAGGTCCTTGGCGAATGGCGGGGCGGGTCGGGCGGTTCGCAGGCGGGTCCCGGGGCGAGTCGTGGGACAGCAGCGACGAGACAAGAGCGTCACGAGCAACGAGACAGTGTGAAAGCAACCCCGTGCTCTGACACGCGCGCAGATATGAGAACACCAGAGGAGAAAGCAAGCATGGACGCCTAAAAAAAACAGCCTTCCCTTCCCCAGCCTGCACGCCCATGATGGACGGGGCCTGGCGAGCTTTTGGGAGGCCCCTATCTGCCTTCTGCTTGTCGTCCCCTGCCGCCGCGAAACACGTGCGCTTGAGTGCCACATGGAAAGCGCGCGTGCTTATCCTGAAACTGCTGTGGCTGCCCGTCCTCCTCCTTCTCCTCCTCATGCTATTTCTGTTCATGCTCCTGCTGCTGCTTCTCATCCATTTCCTTCTGCTCCTCCTCATCCGCTCCCTCTTCCCCCTACCCTGCACAGATCCATCAATTACATTCCGTCATTGCCCTCCCGCAGTGCCCGGCAATCCCTCGTTCCTGCTGGCCTTCCTGCCCCTGCTTCGGCAGCTCCCGTCTACCTGGCTGCCCCTGATACTTCTGCTCCCCCGCCTCCTCCATCCACCATCCATAGTACTCCTTCGGCATGCTTTTTTTTTTCCTTCGGCATGCTATGCCTCCCTGAAGCCTGCCTTGCACGACCTTCCTCGTTGAGGCACCCCCGCCGAAGACAAGGGGGACTCGACCCGCGCTCGCCCGCTCTGCCGCGTGCGCTGCCAGACCCAGCCTGCGGGGGCGGTGCCCGCCACACCGCATGTCGCCTCATCTGTCGCCTTTTCGAGATCCCTGCTCACGTCAGCAGAGAGGAGGGAGAGCCCAGAATCGAATCGACAGATCGGATCGGCGATCGGAATGGATGGGATCGGCGGAAATCCGCAGCCGAGTCGGGAAAAGTCGAATCGGCGGAAATCGGCAGGCTGTTGTGCCTCCAATAAAGAATCGGATTCCGATTCGAAATCCGAAGCCGAATCGAATCGGAATCGGAAGCCATCGAAATCGAATCGAATCGAATCGGAAGCATCGAAACGAGCCCTGGAGAGGAGGGCCGCTCAGGGGTCCGGAGCAGCAGAGGGGTGTACGCACGGGCTGCCTGAAAGAAGTGCAGTGCGGGCTGTGCCCGTGCCAGGCACGCAGCCAAGCTGCGTGCACGGGACCGCCTTGAAGACACGATCGGCAACGTGCAGCATCGATCTTCATGTGAACAGCTGCCCGGTATGTTGACTAACAAGACGGCCTCGCCGCTGACCGCATTCGGCTGCATCACCCTTTTGCTTCCAGAGCCGCAACAGGCACCCACCTCACCAAAGATGGGGAAGATGCCCAGTGGACAGGACCCGCTTCAGGAGGCACAACGAAGCCCTGGCAACCAATTCAACCCAAAGACGCAGGAGTTCGGCTGTGATGTGACACGGGCCAGCGGCTTTTCTGCTTGGGGGGCCGTTCAACGCCGCTCGCATTTCTGAAATCCGCCGGCCCCCTTGTGGGGCCATCAGGCTGCGAGGCTTATGCTTGCTGCTCCCTGCGCCAGTTGCAGTTTCCAGTCTCCAATGTTACAGTCCTGCTTGCTGCTTCCTATTGTACAATGTTGAAGCCCGCGCGAGGGGGGAGCCGAGAAGGACTTGGTTTCCACCCCCAAATCGCGTTGCCTGAATTCCCGGAGGGGCGTGGGACATTTAAGAAAACGTGAAATTCGCGCTCCCGGCGCAATAATCCATCGTAAATTGCTCCGTATTCGCGCGCCCGAGGCCACGATCCCTCGAAAAAGTGCGCCACGTTCGCGTCCCCGAAGCCAAGATCCCTTATCAAATACTCCATCTTCGCGCCCCCGAGGCCACGATCTCCTTTCATTTGCGCCACATTCGCGCCTCTGGGGCTACGATCCCTTGCAAATTACGCCACACTTGCGCCCCCAGGCCACGATCCCTCGTAAATTATGCTACGTTCGCGCCCCCGAGGCAACGATCCCTAGTAGATTACATTATTTTCGCGCCCCCGAGGCCACGATCCCTCGTACATTACATCGCAGTGGCGTCCCCGAGGCCACGATCCCTTGTAAATTACCCCACATTCGCGCTTCCAAACCTTGATCCCTCGTAAATCATTAACGATTCGCGTCCCCGAAGCCCGCAACCCTAGCACATCATGCAATTATTGCGTGCCCGAGGCAACAAACGCTCCTAAAGCATCCCCGCGCCATGGGACGACACGACAACGTGCATGAACGATGCGGTCAAGCGTACAGTTTGGGGACGCAAGATATAGTCAATACGAATGAGCAGAGCATCGAGAATTTCTCAAGTCCTACGTCTACCACGACGGGCACGTCGATGCCAAGAAAAGTAACGTGAGCAGACAACGACAGCTCCACAACGACGACAACAACACACACAATAACTTAATGAAGCGTCTTACGGTGATCTCGGGGATGGGCAGACCCCCCCTTAGTAAAACGTGGTTTAGTGAAAACGACCTCCGGCCTAAACCTGGCGGGCGCCAGCCTGGAAAATAACGGCCGCGGCGCCCTCTCGAGAACCGAAAACGGACAATGCACTAATCGACGTGTCACTGTTGGGGTTCTGTCCGCCCCCGATGATCATGCGGTTGATACTGTCGGGCCTAGGCCAGAAAAAAGCATCCTTCGAAAACATGAGGCCCTCCGCTGGCCACAATCAACGGAACATCTAAGGGTATTCTCCCAAGGTTGCACAATAACATCCAACGAACACGAAGAGCATCAGGGCACCCTCCCCGAATCGACCTCGATCTTATACCTCAGTCTGGCTGTATCAGAGCCCCGCTGCCGCAGACAAGGCAACGCCTGAGGCCGCCTGCGAGCAGCCGCCCTCCGACCTCTGCCACAAGGCAGTGGCGCAGGCAAACGCTGGAATCTGTTGCGAGGAACAGGGGTTCTACAAGAGTGGCATTCCCCGCGCTTCACTCCCTCAGTCCCTCCTCGCACCCCCATTGACTCCCACGTAGCTAGCGCCTTGCCTAGCAGAGCCGATGGCGACGGTGGGACATCCCAGAAAATGAAAAATAGAGATTGGGCGGAAAACTGCCCATGCACTGGATACGCGAAGCTGCACACTGCTAACACAATCTGCTGAGTGCGTCCCACTCGCTCACATTGCCGCGGTGCGAGCACGCCAGGCGGCCGAATAACTCGGAGATCGAAATCCACCCAATCGTGCCACCTCGTCTGCACGACTCATCGACACTGCCGCGGGTGTCCGTCCGACCAGCCAAACTCGATGCCCCCGCGGACGGGCTGCCAATCTGGAGCACTGAGGCCGGGCGTTGGATGACCAGCAGCCTGTCCCACAACCCGGAAAACTTGGCTGGCCAACTCCGGCAACTTCCGGGTCGGTCAAGGCGATCCTGTCAGCCAAGAGCCCTCAAGAACGACCGCGCGCCTGTTTCTGTGATATCCCTCCTCCTCCTCCTCCTCCTCCTCCTCCTCCTCCTCCTCCTCCTCCAGGGAAGTCACAGAGGTAAAGCATCTGCTCGCTGCCGCCCTGCGGTGCAGCCGCCCGGAGCGCCGCCCGCCCGGCGGGGAGGCGACGGGCCGGCCGACGGAGGAGCGCGGCGAGGCTGGCGAAGAGAAGTGCGCGTGCCCCGAGGGCGGAGCCCTTGGAGCACGCGCACCCTGAGACCCGAGGCCCCCGACGGGGTCGGAGGGCTTATACGCACCCTGAGATCCTTCAGCTCAGCGATCTGGCCCTTGAGCGTCTCCATGGCGACCGGGGAGGCGAGGATTCCTGAACTCATGGATCTCGGCATGTCAGGACGTCGAAGTCCATCACTTCCGCAGTCCTCGCCTCCCCGGTCGCCATGGAGACGCTCAAGGGCCAGATCGCTGAGCTGAAGGATCTCAGGGGGCGTAGCTTAGTGCATGGCGGGGGGAAGGACGGGAGTCGGTTCTCCCCGGCCCCTCTCCACGCTGGAAAGGAGGAGGCCCCACGAAGAGGCCTTGCACCGGCTCCCTCACCTGACGAAGCGCCCCATCATCATTGGCCTGCTAATGGGAGTCAGACTACTGGGGGTCAGAGTCAGCGAAGGGCAAACTCAGGAAAAGTGACTTGCTGAGAAAAATACTGGATTGGGCCAAGTGTTTCTAGAGGAATTGCCCCAGAAAAGGCAGTAAGGCATCGTTTTCGATAGAAGTTCGACCCCGAGTGAGGAAAATCAGCGAAATTGAGCCTACAGTTCCCTGACCCCCAAAAAGCTGACCCCCAGTAGCAGGCGAAGGACATCAGTCCCTCCCCACCCCCACCACTCCTTCTGGCCGGCCCCGCGAGGCCTCCGTCTCTGCGATCTCCCCTGCGAAGGCTTCGTCGAACGCGAGGCGATCCTGGTGGGCCGCCGCGCGCCCCTCGCCGCCCGTCGCTGCCGTGCCCTCGGCACGGCCAGCCTGGGCATCTGGAGCCCCGCGGGAAAAAAGACGAGCAACATCTAGAAACAAGACATCGACATAAACATAAACTTGTGGCGCTCCGTGCGGATTTCTTGGATCTGCGCAGGACGCCCCTCCCTGGCGTGCGGAGCGCGCCAGGGGCGGCGCCGGAGGCGCCGCTGGGGGGGGCCCAGCGCGGATCCAAGAAATCCGCGCGGAGCGCCAAAACAAAATCTTTATGGCGTTTCTTCTCCTCGACAGTCGATGAATGCTTGAGAAGGAAATCCGCCACAGTGCCCCAGTGACACGAAGCAGAGTGTCCTAAGGTCCTTTGCCTAATCCCTTAACTAGGCCTCAGCCCTCACCCCTTAATATTATTTTAGGAGCCCTGATCCTGAATTCCTGGAACTCCTGGCGTGCCCTCTGGGGCCCGTCGCGGCTTCCCGCGCGACTTTTTCGGGCCCCGAAGAGAACCCAAAGACGGGCCGCCCACGACTCGAATCGCCGCACGATCGGTCCAAGACGCCCAAGATTGCGTCAAGACGTCCCAAGAAATTTTCGAGGCGCCCCAAGAGTTTTCCCCAGACGGCCCCGAGAGGTCAAAATCAGTGATCCCCGTAAGGTTTTTCAATGTGTTGGGGGTGCTCGACTTTTCGAGCTTCCCGACGTTCCAAGGTGGCCCACGAGGCCCCAAAGACCGCCCCAAGACGGCCCAACAGGCCTCCAAGAGGGCCTCAAGACGGCCCACGAGGGCTCCAAGACGGCCCCAGAGGCGCCCTAGGCCCCCTAGACGGCCCCAAGAGGGGCCCAAAAAAGGAAACCGAACGGACATGTTGAGCCCTGGGCCCCGAGAGGCCCCCCCAGGAGGTCCCAACAGGCTCCCAGGAAGCCCCAAGAGGCCTCCAGGAGGCTCCCAAGAGGCACCACAACTGCCCCCAAGAGCGCTCCGACGAGACCCCAAGAAACATTCCTGAGAACTCTAATCCACAACCCAAGCACGGAGGCGGGATAGGCCGAAGGTAATTAGATCCGTCGCCCCATGTTGGTTCAACACAAGGGTGCCAGGCGTGCTGAATATTTTCGCTTTTGGTTTTGGTTATTGTTCCAAAACAAATCCCCCTGCTGTTTCGGCCCCGCCCGCCGGGGTCCCGGGGTGACCAGGAAAGGGTGGTTCATCAAGTTTTTCCTGCTCCAGATGGCTCCAAGATGACTTCCAAGATGGCCAAGATGGCCTCCAGGTTCGCCCGAGATAGTCCGAGATGGCCTCCGAGACGGCCCAGGAGAGTTCAAGATGCCTCCAAGTTCGCACAAGAAACCTCCGAGACGGCTCAAGATGGCCCCAGAGGCCTCCAAGAGGCCTCCAAGACGGCCCAAGAGGCCTCCAAGAGCTCCACCAGAAAGGCCCGAAGATGCCAAAATCATTGATTTCCCCTTGGTTTATGAAAGATGTGGGCATTTTCATCTTTGCAGCTCTCCGACGGCCCAAGACGGCCCAAGAGGCCCCCAACATCGCCCCATGAGCGCCCAAGAGTGCCCCAACAAGACCCCAAGACGGCCCAAGAGGCCCCCAAGACGCACAAGATGGCCTCCAGGACGGTCAAGATGGCCTCCAAGATGCCTCCAAGAGGGCCAAGAAGGCCTCCAAGACGGCGAAGATGACCCCAAGATGCACCCAAGACGGTCCCAGATGGCCTGAAGATGGCCTTCGACTCCCCAAAAGGCCCGCCAGAAGCCTCCAAGACGGCCCAAGACCCCTCCAAGACGTCCTCCAGGAGGCCCGAAAGCTTGGAAACCACCTGGTCCGATAGCTCGCCCGACTCCGTGTTCCCCGAAGGCTTTCGAAATCCACTCGGGGAACGCGTGGCCCGATAGCTCGGCCAAGCTCAAACCCAACTTTCGGCCACGCATGCGCTTCCAAAAAAGCAAGGGGGCGCGGTGATTCGCCGCAGGCGTCTTCGATACGGAAAAGGAGGATGAATCGCATGATCACAGTGGAAGGAGAGCAACATGGAGAATGGCACGAGCACCGAACGGAAGAACGACGAGCAAAACTACACATGGAATTGGTGGAATGATTCATCGAATGAGGATGGGGAATGAGGTTCGACGCCTATGAAGGGATAAGCCAGGGGGAGAGAATAACCAGTCTGCGGTGGGATGCCCATCCGAGGAGACCCTGTTAAACCTGCCGAATAACAGGGGATATGTCGACCCCTATCCCAGGTTTTGGAATGTTTCAAATGAACCAGAACGTTGGGGCCCAACCCTGGGATATACGATGGGGCGCGCTCATCCTCGATAGGGGGGCGTCCGAATAGCACCCTTGCAACCTGCGTGATGTTACGAGGGGAATGTAAGGGGAATGGAAGTAAGGTGAAAGTAGAGAAAGTCGGTACCAATCGTTGCAAAACTCCGTTGGCCTTGAGCCTTTTCCTTACGCCAAAATGGCTTGAGCCAACATGACTTGAACCTGCGGATTGGGGGAGAAAAACCGCCTGTGACCGAGGGTCCCATCCCCACGGTACAGGGCCCAGCCGACAGCGCACCCCACCCCCCACGTCAGTCGGCGCCAGTGGACATTCGCATCACGCGGCTCGCTTCACCACCAGCGAACTCGCCAATGAGCCTGTGCGATCATGGAGTGTCAGAATGCAGGCTTGCGCCTGCGCGAGTAGTTATGGAGGTGTTCGGCCCTCCGGCCCAGCTGTCAGAAGAGGTCCACATCCACAGCTGCTGGAATTCTGCCCTGGATCCTTGGGGAACTGTATACGCTGATGCTTCCCCACCGTCCACGGCGGGCAGGGGTCCACATCCTCCACTTCTCGAGAGGTCCTCCAGAGCCCAGGGCACGACTCCGATGCGCTGGATATGGGTCCCTTCTGGCGGTGAAACCACGGCCGTGACCTTACCTCATCCCCAGCCTCCTCCCATTCAAGCGACTGGCTGCAAGTCCGCGTCGCTCATCGCCACCTCAAAGGCTGGGCCTCCCAGTAATCGCTCTGTGGCCATGTCACTGAGACCTTAGTGATTCTGGCTGGTGCAGCTCGTCAACCCTCCTCCTCCTCCTCCACCTCCAACTCCACCTACTCCTCCTACCCATCTTCCTTTTCAACCGCCTGAAACCTCCACCTACATCTCCCATTCCTGATCCCGATCCTGATCATGCTCGTCGTCAGAACGATCCGTGTTCCCAATTCGAGCCGAAGAAACCAACTTCCAATCCTAACCCTCCATGCCACCGTCCTCCCAATATTCTCCTCCTCCTCCTTCTCCTCCTCCTCCTCCAGACCTTCCTCCCTCCTTACCCCGACCCCGTCCCTCCTAACCCCCCTCGCCCTCCCTCCTCCCTCCTCGGTCCTCTCTCCCTCTATCCTCCCCCCTTCCTCGCGAGCCTCCCCTCTGTCCTGCTCCCTCTTTCGCTCGTCCGCTGCCTTCCCCCCCCTCCTCGCGCCGAGTTCGAGCACGCTCCGTAACGGCGCGGTCGTGCCCCCATCAGGGCAGGGCCCGAGAGGACATCGCCTCGACAGGGACAGCACATCTTCACGGGCACGCGCAGGCGGCGCAGTGAAGCTTGGGGAAGGGCAAGGAGAGCGTGAGGAGGAATAGCAGGGTGGAGGGAGTGCGAGGGGAAATGGCCTGCGGCAACTGAAGGGGCCGTGGGACACACAAATAAATGGACACAAACAACTGGATTCCCAATCTTTTCCCATGTGTTCTGGGTGTTCGTCTTCCCCCACACTTTCCAGATTCCCAAATGTCAGGGAAATCGACGATGAATTGTGTCTGTGTGATTTTCCCCTCCTGAGCAACTCCAGATGCCACCGTCTGTGGTGCCACGAGGGAGTCTCGAACGCATGCTAGGCTTCCTGCCCACGCTCGGCGAACACCTCGAAACACAGTGGCCTCGTGCCGGAAAGGGAGCGCAACAATCCTCGGATGTCTGGTCAAATCCGGAATTGACTGGAGTAGTGTGTGCACAATGCCGACTTGCAACAGATTGTTTAGACCGCCCCCTCTCCCCCTCATTTCCCATCCGTTTCTGCCCCCTTCCCCTTCCCCCTCCACCCAATCTATGTCTTTTGATTGAAGGTGTGATCGTAAGCTCATGTTAAATCGCCCCCGTCAAATGCATAATAACCCGCCGCCGTTGACTCGGCCCCTTGAATGGATTCTGCTCCCTGGCGGGACTTCCCTCCGATAGCACGCAGACACCTGCTCCTCGAAGATCGAAGAGTTCTGCTACTCGGCTGGAGTTCCCATCGCTGCACACGTAGACAGTAGTATACTCAACGAACAAATCCTAGCCAGCGTGGACCCCAAACAGAGATTTCTTGCAATGTGTGCAGTGCAATCTAGGTGGTGCAATCCACGTGGTGCGAGATTGGCAGTGCAAAGCAAGGGAAAGTAAGGCACACCCATGCAAACATACAATGAAAAGCAATGCAACGAGAAGCAAGGCAAAGCACGGGAACTTGAGGACATGCAAAGCAGAAGCAAGACAACGCAAAGCAAGGCAGTGCACAACCATGCACAGCCATGCAACGCCATGCCGTGCAGAGCGGTGGCAAAGCAAGGCGCGACTGCAGTGCAGAGCCATGCAATGATACTGCAATGCGATGCACTGCTGCTGCGAGGCGATTGCCACGCAGTGCGATTGCCATGCAACGGGGAAAGGGGGGGGGGGGCACGGGGCGGCGGCCACGCTCGGGAACGGGATCGCGGGAGCGGCACCCTGGCATGCCTACGTACCTGGAGAGACGGTGCGGCGGCGGAGGGGAACGGGGCCGCTGGGACTCCAACACCCTGCCGCGCCTGCCGCGGATCCCAACACCCTGCTTAGCTACAGACGTGCTCGCTGTCGTCGAGACTTGACGGTGGGGGATTCCCCGCAGGAGCGAGGAGGGGGGACGAAACGAGCCGCAACGGTGCGGACCCAAGCAGGATGAGGATGAGAGGGCGAGGGAGCATGGGGAGGACGAGGAGAGGGAACAGCGGCAGCAACGGCGGCCCGCACGGCTATCGGGGGTCTAAGGATCCTGCAAGATCCTGCACCAAAACCCAGGTCAATGCACCCCTGGCTCTACAGGATCCTGCAAGATCTGGCGCTCTGGCTGGCCCCCGCTTGCGTTGACCCCCGTCTCTTGAGCCCCGAGGCTAGCCCAGCTCCGAGCCATGGCCGCTGCTGCTGCTGCTGCGGAGGAGGGGGAGGAGGAGGAGGAGGAGGAGGAGGAGGAGGAGGAGGAGGAGGAGGAGGAGGAGGAGGAGGAGGAGGAGGAGGAGGAGGAGGGGAGGAGGAAACGGAGGAAAAGGAGGAGGGGGAGGAGGAGGAGGAAGAGGGAGGAGGGGGGAGGGGGAGGAGGAGGAAGAGAGGAAGAGAGGGGAGGGGGAGGAGGAAACGGAGAACAAGAAGGAGGGGGAGGAGGAAAAAGGAGGAGGAGGAGGAGGAGGAGGAGGAGGAGGGGAGGAGGAGGAGGAGGCAAAGGAGGAGGAGGAGGAGGAGAAGGAGGAGGAGGAGGAGGAGGAGCATTGTCGGCCTCGGGCCGATCGGCGCCGACGACCACGACAGTATAGCGGCGGCGTGCGCCCATCG